GAGTTGTGTTTAAAAATTGATAACTTCGAATTTTATGGGAATCAAGAAATGTCTTGTGGCACATTACATCTTTATTAAATTTGCTTTAAAATGCTTGTAATTTCATAACGATATCTCAATTCCTTCTTGAGATACAATGTTTTTAATCCAAATGTCTAAAACAGTCATGTTTGTTAGGTTGAGCTTAAAAATTCGTAACAACGAGGTTTATGGAAAATAAGAAATGATTTATGGCACCTTGTATCTTCATTAAATTTGCTTTAAAATGTATCTTATTTCATCGTGATATTTCAATTGGTTCTTGAGATACGAGTTCTTAATTTTATTCTTAGAATTTAGAACAATCAAACATGTCGAGTTGTGTTTAAAAATTGATAACTTCGAGGTTTATAGGAATTAAGAATTGACTTGTGGCACATTAAATCATCATTAAATTAGCTTTAAAACGCTTTTTGTTTCATAACGATATCTCAATTCCTTCTTGAGATACAATGTTTTTAATCCAAATGTCTAAAACAATGGCATTTATTAGGTTGAGCTTAAAGTCATAACAACGAGGTTTATAGAAAATAAGAAATGATGTATGGCACATTGTATCTTCATTAAATTAGCTTTAAAATGTATCTGATTTCATCGTGATATCTCAATTGGTTCTTGAGATACGACTTTTTAAATTTATTCTTAGAATTTAGACCAATCAAAAATGCCGAGTTGTGTTTAAAAATTGATAACTTCGAATTTTATGGGAATCAAAAAATGTCTTGTGGCACATTACATCGTCATTAAACTTGCTTTAAAATGCTTGTTATTTCATAACTATATCTCAATTCCCTCTTGAGATACAATGTTTTTAATCCAAATGTCTAAAACGGTCACATTTATTAGGTTGAGCTTAAAAAGTCATAACAACGAGGTTTATGAAAAATAAGAAATGATTTATGGCACATTGTATCTTCATTAAATTTGCTTCAAAATGTATCTTATTTTGTTGTGATATCTCACCCGGTTCTTGAGATACGACTTCTTAATTTTATTCTTAGAATTTAGAACAATCAAAAATGCTGAGTTGTGTTTAAAAATTGATAACTTCGAGGTTTATGGGAATTAAGAAATGACTTGTGGCACATTAATTCTTTATCAAATTTGCTTTGCAATGCTGTTAATTTCGTCATTATATCTCAAGAGGTTCTGGAGATATTAAGGAATAAATAAGCGTTGGCAGTTATAATTCTTCTAGCTCATCCTAGTTTGTTTGGATCCTCATAATGTGCACATTTTGATTTCTCCTTCTCTGAGTTTTCTAAAATCGGATGCTCAAGATGTAAATTGATTTTAGCAATTAACATCTTATTTACCTTCTTATAGAACTGGTTTCAGCAATCAATTTGGCAATCTCAAATCTTCATTCTAAGATTCTTAAGGTGAGACAGATTTCAGCAATTAATCTCAGAAATGGACGTGGGGTAAAGTTGGATCTTTTATTTGAATGTGAAAAATGCATAATCTTGTTTAGTTAGGCCACTTAATTAAATCATCCTGTATAATCTTCGAATTGAAGGTGTTAAAATAAGAAATAAAAAAAAGCATTCGCGGTTTCCGCAAAAATCCGTCGGCGTCCAAGGTCGTGGTGGCGAGAGAGCCACTAATTATACCTACACACAAACACACACTCATGTACGGACACACAAACACGTAGAGAGAGAGTTAGCAGCCGCCGAAACGGGGCCTTTTCTGCGTATAAAAAATTCGCCAAACACGCAGGTTAGAAGAGAGATGCTTTGTCGGACGGCGGCACGAAACGCCCGGCACACCAACAATCGTCGCCGGTTGTCGGTGCAAATATATCAAGGTTGCCCGCCCCAGGTTCTCTTTCCGTAACCTTGGCGAGTTTGACTTTTACCTATGAGAAAAAATTCGCGAACCATTAGATTAGGTCAGTACGTCTCGTCATGCAAAAAAATCCTTTCTTGAACATCAACTGTAACAATAAACCTTTACTAACACGTTGAAATTTGTATATTACATATATTTTTTTAATTGTTTTAGTGTGGTCTATCTCAGACATGGGAAGTGAGCACTACTGCCTGAGGTGGAACAATCATCAGAGCAACCTGCTGGGCGTCTTCAGCCAACTGCTCCGGGACGAAAGCCTCGTTGACGTCACACTGGCCTGCTCGGAAGGCCACTCGATCCGTGCTCACAAGGTAGTACTGTCGGCCTGCAGCTCATATTTTCAAAATCTCTTCGTTGACCACCCGAGCCGACACCCAATCGTAATATTGAAAGACGTGCGTTTCGCCGAATTACGCACCCTCGTCGATTTCATGTACAAGGGCGAGGTGAACGTTGAGTACTGTCAGCTATCGGCGCTGCTCAAAACGGCCGAAAGCCTCAAAGTTAAGGGGCTCGCCGAAATGACCAATTTAGGCCCAAATAGGGATTATGACAAGGGCGGCGTCCCGGAGCCTGAACAGCTCGAACCGACCGAGCTCGTCAACAAACGGGTGATGATGACGGAAGAATCGTCGTCTTCCAGCCGACCAGACAGACCAGACAGGTCTGAGAGGATTGATAGGATCGAAAGGTTGGATAGGATGGAAAGGATTGAAAGGATCTCGGAACGAATGGAAAGGATCTCCGATCGGTTGGAAAGCAGCAACAGGGAGCAACAGATTCAAACGCCTCCTGCAAAAATCCCCAAGAACAGCAGCCCTGAAAGGCCCGAAAGTGTTGAAGGTGACAGATCTGAATCTCCCGCTGAAGAGTGCAGGCCGAGTGATATGAGTATGCATAATAATGGAAATAATGTGAGCTGTACGACCACCTCTGCAACTGTTGGAACACCTTGTAACAGGATACCGTCTCCAATTAACAGCGAACCGTTACCCGGTCCTTCTAATTTACCGCCAGTCCAACAAGTGCCTCTCGTAAGTAAAATTTACCCATATTTTTAATACTTGAATAATAATGTCTAAAACTGTCAGCTTGAGCTTAAAAATTCATAACAACGAGGTTTATGGAAAATAAGAAATGATTTATGGCACATTAAATCATCATTAAATTAGCTTTAAAATGCTTTTTATTTCATAACGATATCTCAATTCCTTCTTGAGATACAATGCTTTCAATCCAAATGTCTAAAACAGTCGCATTTATTAGGTTGAGCTTAAAAAATCATAACAACGAGGTTTATGGAAAATAAGAAATGATTTATGGCACATTGTATCTTCATTAAATTTGCTTTAAAATGCTTTTTATTTCATCGTAATATCTCAATTGGTTCTTGAGATACGACTTCTTAATTTTATTCTTAGAATTTAGAACAAACATGCTAAATTATGTTTAAAAATTGATAACTTCGAGATTTATGAGAATTAAGAATTGACTTGTGGCACATTAAATCATCATTAAATTAGGTTTAAAATGCTTTTTATTTCATAACGATATCTCAATTCCTTCTTGAGATACAGACTTCTTAATTTTATTCTTAGAATTTAGAACAAACATGCTAAAGTTGTGTTTAAAAATTGATAACTTCGAATTTTATGGGAATCAAGAACTGTCTTGTGACACATTACATCTTTATTAAATTTGCTTTAAAATGCTTCTTATTTCATAACGATATCTCAATTCCTTCTTGAGATACAATGTTTTTAATCGAAATGTCTAAAACAATCGCATTTATTAGGTTGATCTTAAAAAGTCATAACAACGAAGTTTATGGAAAGTAAGCATTGTATCTTCATTAAATTTGCTTTAAAATGCTTTTTATTTCATCGTGATATCTCAATTGGTTCTTGAGATACGACTTCTTAATTTTATTCTTAGAATTTAGAACAAACATGCTAAATTGTGTTCAAAAATTGATAACTTTGAGATTTATAAGAATTAAGAATTGTCTTGTGGCGCATTAAATCATCATTAAATTAGCTTTAAAATGCTTTTTATTTCATAACGATATCTCAATTCCTTCTTGAGATACAATGTTTTCAATCCGAATGTCTAAAACAGTCGCATTTATTAGGTTGAGCTTAAAAATTCATAACTACGAGGTTTATGAAAAGTAAGAAATGATTTATGGCACATTGTATCTTCATTAAATTTGCTTTAAAATGCTTTTTATTTCATCATGATATCTCAATTAGTTCTTGAGATACGATTTCTTAATTTTATTCTTAGAATTTAGAACAAACATGCTTGTTTAAAAATTGATAACTTCGAGGTTTATGAGAATTAAGAATTGACTTGTGGCACATTAAATCATCATTAAATTAGCTTTAAAATGCTTTTTATTTCATAACGATATCTCAATTCCTTCTTGAGATACAATGTTTTCAATCCAAATGTCTAAAACAGTCGCATTTATTAGGTTGAGCTTAAAAATTCATAACTACGAGGTTTATGGAAAATAAGAAATGATTTATGGCACATTGTATCTTCATTAAATTTGCTTTAAAATGCTTTTTATTTCATCATGATATCTCAATTAGTTCTTGAGATACGATTTCTTAATTTTATTCTTAGAATTTAGAACAAACATGCTTGTTTAAAAATTGATAACTTCGAGGTTTATGAGAATTAAGAATTGACTTGTGGCACATTAAATCATCATTAAATTAGCTTTAAAATGCTTTTTATTTCATAACAATATCTCAATTCCTTCTTGAGATACAATGTTTTCAATCCAAACGTCTAAAACAGTCGCATTTATTAGGTTGAGCTTAAAAATTCATAACAACGAGGTTTATGGAAAATAAGAAATGATTTATGGCACATTGTATCTTCATTAAATTTGCTTTAAAATGCTTTTTATTTCATCATGATATCTCAATTAGTTCTTGAGATACGATTTCTTAATTTTATTCTTAGAATTTAGAACAAACATGCTTGTTTAAAAATTGATAACTTCGAGGTTTATGAGAATTAAGAATTGACTTGTGGCACATTAAATCATCATTAAATTAGCTTTAAAATGCTTTTTATTTCATAACGATATCTCAATTCCTTCTTGAGATACAATGTTTTTAATCCGAATGTCTAAAACAGTCGCATTTATTAGGTTGAGCTTAAAAATTCATAACAACGAGGTTTATGGAAAATAAGAAATGATTTGTGGCACATTAAATCATCATTAAATTAGCTTTAAAATGCTTTTTATTTCATAACGATATCTCAATTCCTTCTTGAGATACAATGTTTTTAATCCGAATGTCTAAAACAGTCGCATTTATTAGCTTGAGCTTAAAAATTCATAACAACGAGGTTTATGGAAAATAAGAAATGATTTATGGCACATTAAATCATCATTAAATTAGCTTTAAAATGCTTTTTATTTCATAACGATATCTCAATTCCTTCTTGAGACACAATGTTTTTAATCCGAATGTCTAAAACAGTCGCATTTATTAGGTTGAGCTTAAAAATTCATAACAACGAGGTTTATGGAAAATAAGAAATGATTTGTGGCACATTGTATCTTCATTAAATTTGCTTTAAAATGCTTTTTATTTCATCGTGATATCTCAATTGGTTTTTGAGATACGACTTCTTAATTTTATTCTTAGAATTTAGAACAAACATGCTAAATTGTGTTCAAAAATTGATAACTTTGAGATTTATAAGAATTAAGAATTGTCTTGTGGCGCATTAAATCATCATTAAATTAGCTTTAAAATGCTTTTTATTTCATAACGATATCTCAATTCCTTCTTGAGATACAATGTTTTCAATCCGAATGTCTAAAACAGTCGCATTTATTAGGTTGAGCTTAAAAATTCATAACTACGAGGTTTATGAAAAGTAAGAAATGATTTATGGCACATTGTATCTTCATTAAATTTGCTTTAAAATGCTTTTTATTTCATCATGATATCTCAATTAGTTCTTGAGATACGATTTCTTAATTTTATTCTTAGAATTTAGAACAAACATGCTTGTTTAAAAATTGATAACTTCGAGGTTTATGAGAATTAAGAATTGACTTGTGGCACATTAAATCATCATTAAATTAGCTTTAAAATGCTTTTTATTTCATAACGATATCTCAATTCCTTCTTGAGATACAATGTTTTCAATCCAAGCGTCTAAAACAGTCGCATTTATTAGGTTGAGCTTAAAAATTCATAACTACGAGGTTTATGGAAAATAAGAAATGATTTATGGCACATTGTATCATCATTAAATTTGCTTTAAAATGCTTTTTATTTTATAACGATAACTCAATTCCTTCTTGAGATACAATGTTTTCAATCCGAATGTCTAAAACAGTAGCATTTATTAGGATGAGCTTAAAAATTCATAACTACGAGGTTTATGGAAAATAAGAAATGATTTATGGCACATTGTATCTTCATTAAATTTGCTTTAAAATGCTTTTT